TCTTCCAGTACAAATCTCTGTCCACGTTCTCTGAATATTTTGGCACCTGTCGAGTCAGGTATAAGGGGAGGGAACTGCCCAGAGAGCTTCAAAACCGCAGACATCTCCAGGCCACTCTGGGTGGTAAAGGACCCTGCCCCACCCCACCCCCATTGGGCTGTTTTCTGGTCCTTTCCTCTTAAACTGCTCTGAGGGAATTGGGGTCTTGCCTTTCCTTGTGCAGCCAGAGGATTGCACGAGACTACCTCTTACAGAGTGAAATCAGGGTTATAACAAAAGTCATCAGCAGGTACTGCCCTGCACTCAGGTAGGAAGCAGCGCAAACCAAAGCCAGTGCTTATTTAGCCCAGGAGCAAGTCACCTAATGAGTCTCCTCCAAGCCCATAAACTCCAGGTGTTACCTTAAAAACCTCCCTCTGGTCTTCAGTGAGACTAACCACACAGCTCAGAATTCAGGTGAAAGCCGTGTGTCTCCAGCCCACCCTGTGGCCCCTTACCTGCTCAGCAGGTCATCAGCTTAATGGTGCTTCCCTTCACCTTGATGTGGTCCCAAGGACATCCCAAGAGCAGAATTCCTGCCACAGTCTAGAAGCATTTAGCTCGTCTGATCTGACCAGAAGTTAAGCCGGAAGTGCACCTGCTCAGCCCCGAATGGGACGAACCTGGGTTTTGGTGGCTGACTGCAGACCATCTCCCAAAGGCAAGGGGCACTCACGGATGGGGGCACGGCCACTGGGGAATCGGGTTGAGGCCCCCAGTGCAAGCCTGCTGGCCGGGGCAAAGAGTGGAATGACTTTGGTGAAACAACTTACTGAGCCTTGGACTCTTCATCTTACGGAGAAAATACTCCTGCCTATTATCAGGTGGTTATGAAGATCAGAGATGAGGCCGTAAAGTGCCCTGTCACATAGTAAGAGCTCTGAAAGTGATGAGCGTCATGCGTGCGAACACCAGGCCCAGGGCCGGTAGGCAGGTTGGCGTATGTGTTACACATCTAGGGACGTGAGCCCTCTCAGCTTCTAGCGAGATGCCAGCAGAGACCTGTCAGGCATATGGAGCGTTGGGGACATTCCAGGAAGGGTCAGCAGAGGGTGTCCAGGTGCCCCTGGAGATTGGCGGGTGATGAAGGAACAGGACCGGTGAAATCAGTAGGCAGCCAATATTGCCCCTGGGGGAGGGGACCAGGTGCCCTTCGCCACACCATGTTCCAGGCTCCTGAGGGCTGCTTTTGTGTTTCACGAAGCTCAGCTTGAGAAGTTGGAGACCTGAGACTGTGGTCCGATTTCAGAGAAGTGACTGAGGCTATTGAGAATCTCCCAGGAGAGGAAACCTAGAGGGCCAAGCTGAGAGGGATCACTCCTTCTGGATGGGATGTTTCCAGATCGTCGGGGCGCTCTGCTCCTTGCCGCCTCACCTGCCGTAGCCGGGGAAAGAGGCCTGGCATCCAGTTCTGAGGACTGTGGCTTCCTCCAGCGAGGGGCTTGGAGGGACACTGTTAGCCTCACCCACTGCCTGGGAGGCAGTTTCTCCAGAGTAGGTTTAGTTCCTGAGTGGGGGCTGTGGTCTCCGCGCCATCAGAAGGGAACTGATCATCTGAAATCTCCTCCCACCCTATCTTTTGCCTCCACTCCTGTGGGCTGGGGGGGGGGTGAGGAGAGTGGGTCACCCAGCATCCTCCTCCCACGCCTGGACTTGGACCTGGAAGTGCCTTTTCTGTTTAATGTTTGGCAACCTACACGAGGCACTTGCCTGGGTGCTGCTATTTAAAACCACGGGAAAAACCCCTGTGTGCTGCTGCCAGCAGAGAGTGAAGTCCCCTGGTGTGCAGGCCCGCCCCAGTGGAATATTCCACTGCCCTCCGCTACGCAGGGCAGCTGTGGGATGGAAGGCCTCGTGGCCTTGGGCATGTGGGTCCCCTTTTCGTGTTGAAGAAATGCGTTCTCCTGGAGGAGGTATGGGAAAGAGGAAGCCGAACAGAAAACGCCCCGTTTATTCCAAGCTCAGGGATGTTGGGAGGGTCTTGGATCCTGCGAACTCTCAGAGGAGCCCCACCAACACCGCTGTCCTTGTTGGACCCTTGGTCTTGACAGCCTCTGAAGAAAGGTCCAGGATCTAGAAGTTTCACAGCTTCAAATGCCTCTCCTGGGCCGGAGCCTCACTGTTCTCATCTCGTGTCTGTTCCCTCCTGCCTCCGAGGGTTACAGGTTGCAGGCCCAGTGCGTCCCTGTGGGTCTCAGGAGCACTGCATCCCAGCAGGGTGGTCTGAGACCACCCTGAGGTTCCATGGTCTTTGTTCCTCGGCATCTGTGGCAGCACCTCTGCTCAGCTTCCGGGGCAACTTCAGAGATGCCCCCCTTCCCTAAACAAAGAACTAAGATTCTTCCACAGACACCCCATAATTTCCTCATGGCTTTACCTCCCTGCGTCAGGCATCTGTGTATTATTCCCGTTTTACAGGTAAGACAGTAGTGCCTCAAGGAGGGTCAGGAACTTGTCCAAGGTCCGTCAGTGACGAGGGGACAGAGCCAGGACTCAGGCCCAGTGGGCCTGCCTCCCCCACACCATGCTGCCCTCAGTTCAGGCTTCTCGGCCCCGTGTCCAGAGCCGGCCTCACCTCCTCACCCTCCTCTCTCCTGACTTCCGGCTCCCGTTCTCAGCAGGTCTGGTCCCAACTGCTCCAAATCCTTGTGTCAGGCCTGTCCCCACAGGCCTCCTACCTGCAACATCTTCTTGTCCCTCCCCGTGTCTTTCCCTGAACTGCCTCTGTTGGGTGCAGTTTCCAGGGCCTTCCTTCCCTGCAGCCATCAGACTTTGCGTGGCCCCTCCCTGGCCCTGGGACACATCTTCCCTGGGACCTCTGTTGCCGCCATGTCTACAAATGAAATGTGAAATGACACGTGACAGCCGGGCGTGGTGGCTGGCCCTCTCTAGTCTTCCTCTGAGGGGGCCATGGCTGTTGGGATGCGGGAGGTCGTATTCCAGAGTCTGAAAGTGTCTGTCAGTCCACGGAGCCTGGTGGACCGCTGTCCATCCCTCACTAGAGCAGTGTGGGTTTAGTTGTTCCCCGATGAGATGGCATGGGATGGGGTTGGCCGTGGATTGAGATCACTCTGCCCTCCCCACTTCCCACCGCTGGGCCCGTCAGACCCTCGTCCGCTCTGAGCTTCGATGCAGGGATGGGACTAGCATGTGGTGACTGGTTGTACGCTTTTCCTCTGGCCCTACCTTTAATGTCTTCCCCATGCATCCCCAAGCCCCCGCTTGGCGCATCTTATATAATTAGGTTTTTCCATTGTTGCCTCGGCATTGTCTGCCCTGATTGTTTATGCAGCCTTCTGGGCTCGCAGATAAGAAATGCTCCACCTTCCTTCGCCTTCTTTGGCAGTCACCATCAGAAGGATCTAGGACAAACACCCTTGTCAGTAAAGGCCCAGCCCTTTAGTCACGTGGCCTGGCAGAGCGCTGCCCTCGCTTGCGATGCACAAGGTCTTGGTGGGAGGATGAGGGCTTCTGGGATGGGGATAAAAATTGCCAGGTTTGGGGCGAGGGGGGTAGTCTTCTCCTTAAACAAATTTTAACTTGAAAACTTGATGACAGAAGCAGCCGAGTCTCAGCAGAGAGAGAAAAGAAGCAAAGGAGGCTGATTTAACCTTGATTTAACCTTGGGCTCCAGCAGCCCCCCCCCCTCCGGCCCCAGCCAGAGTCCATCCAGTGTTGCTCAGGGTGGCTGCTGTCCACTGTGGGACAAGGAATGAGAATACATAACTTCAGGGTCTCCCTGTCAGGCAGGACCCCTCCTCACCCCCTTCTGCCCAATTCCTGGCTTCTCCTTCCCGGCTGGTGGTTTTTACTCTGTGGTTTGACTGCTCAGGCATCCGCTTTCTCAGGAACTCAAAATGCTTCTCAGTTCAGGTTCTGGTCACTCCATCGGGGGCTCATGTGCTTTGGAACACTAGATTTTCATCTCTATAGCCCATTCCTATTAAAGGTAACTTAGGGATTATTTTCTTTGTAGAGCAACGTTTACTGCTGGGAGAAAAAAAGGATTAAAAAAAAAGTTGTATAGGTGAAGGTTTAAATGCCAGCTTTATCACTTCTCTGAGGTGCAGGTTTCTACACATGACAGTAACTGCCTTGCATGCTTGTTGTGAAAATAAGAAGGTGTTGGATGAATGTCAGTTCTCCTTTCTGCCCAGGCAGCCTCTCCTACACACACACACACACACACACACACACACACACACATACACACACACACACGCGCGCGCGCGTGCGCGCGCACCCAGTTTTTACTTAAGAAACATCCTGAGAAGGAGAAGTGTAGTGAAGGGGGCAGATCTGCAGGCTGCTCACTCCTGTGCTGTCCCTGGGGAACTCCCTTTAAAACCTCTCTTCAAATCACTGGCAGGCGAGAGATGCCACCACATCTACACATGAAATGTGAGATGACACGTGACAGCTGGGTGTGGTGGCCCTCTCTAGTCTTCCTCTGAGGGGCAATGGCTCTTGGGATGTGGGACGTCGTATTCCAGAGTCTGAAAGCATCTGTCAACCCAAGGAGCCTGGTGGACCAGCTGTCCATCCCTCACTTAGACAGATGAGGCAACTGAGGCCTTTAGAGGGGTTGTGAAGAAGGACAGTGTGTGTTTAGTTGTTCCCTGATGGGGTGGCATTGGGATGGGGCCAGCTCTGGATTAACAACACTCTGCTTCCCTTCCCACCGCCGGAACCTGTAAGACCCTCATCCCCTAAGGTCCCCTTGCTTCTGGGCATCTTGCTCAGAAACTGTTGGTAAAAACGGACTTTGCAAATCCTGCTCTGACTCTACACTGCATGGATGACAGAGATGAGGCTCCTGGAGTCACCGGGGGCACCGCACTGTGGTCAAGGCCCTTGTCATCCTGTGACCACAGGCAGGAGTTGCCTTGCTCTGAATTCATCCTAATCAGAAAGTAGCTGCTCTCTTTCTAACATAGAGCTTCTCGTTTGCTTGTTTCTAGAGCAAATCATGGAGGAAAATCAAAAACATGGTGCACTGGTCTCCCTTTGTCATGTCCTTCAAGAAGAAGTACCCCTGGATACAGCTGGCGGGACACGCAGGTAGCACAGCTCTCCGGGACTTTCCGTGGGGATATTTGGCTCTCTGGGGAGTCACCCGGCACCCGTGGGAGGGCAGGGCCTGGCCCTGGATACTTCCGGGAATGAGTGCATTGGAACAGGTTCTCTCTGAGAATTGGCAACAGCAACGACAGCCATGCTTGCCGGATGTGACCTTAACACTGCCTCGAAAATGCATGCAGACAACTGCCCTCCCCAGTCTGTGCCAGCCCTGCCCCCAAACACACACGCGCCCCACCCCCATCTCTGTCTCCCAGTTTAACTCAGTAAAACAGGTAGAAATCGTCAGTCTTATAGCTTGCCTGCCATTTGTCATCCTAGACAAAGAGGCAACGCTAACCACTTCATTGAGCACCTGCTGTACGCCCACATGGCCGCGGTCCTAGGCATCACATTAGTGGAAATGTGTAGTACCTGTCCTAAAGCAGCTCGTAGGTGCAAGACGGGGTGGAGTGTTGGGTGCAGGTGGCCAGGGTGCCAAGTCAGCCATGTGGTCTCTAGTTCACCCATCAGCAACAGGGGAGGTGGGACACCTGGAGCCACAGCCCCAGAGCTTTCTAGTCCGTGCACGGGGGCCCTTTAGTGCGTTTCAGTGGCTACCCATGAACTTGACCTCCTGACCTCAGGCCAGCACAGAGCCTGACGTTTCTTTTATATCCCCAACCACACTGGCCCAGCCCAAGGCACATGGATGGACACACTCCCTAAATACTTAACCAGGTGGGCCAGGCTTTGGAGCCCCGCTCCTCAGCCGGTCCTGCCACCAAGTCTGGTCCGATGGGGGTTTCTCCTCTACTGAGACCCGAGACACCTTCATTGCCCGAGAAGGGGGATTGATGATGGGGGTAGGGACAGTAATCGTTACACAAAAAGGAGTGAATAGGCCTTGGCACAGACCTCTCACTTAGCCCTGCTGACCCTCCACCAGTGAGCACTGGTGTCCCTCCATCTTCAGATGAGGAACTTGGGGTGAGACGTTGGGGAACCAGCCCAGAGTTGCAGTCAGTGGGGGGGGGGCACGTTGGGGGGGGACTTGAGACTTGCACCCACTCCCCTTAAAGTAGTCAGTCCACAAGCGGGGACCTGGGCACACCTTCAGCCTTGTGCTTAGCAAGCCCCGGAGCCTCCCCGAGGGACCCAGGCACTGTCACCGAGGGGGGCTGTCAGGGTGGGTGGCTCAGAGTGGGGAGGGCCACACCTAAGGACCAAGGGCCTCCCCCTGCCTTGCTCTGCAGGGAGTTTCAAGGCAGCTGCCAATGGCCGGATCCTGAAGAAACACTGTGAGTCGGAGCAGCGCTGCCTGGACCGGCTGATGGCTGATGTGCTGAAGCCCTATGTGCCTGCCTACCACGGGGACGTGGTAAAGGATGGGGAGCGCTACAACCAGATGGACGACCTGCTAGCCGACTTTGACTCGCCGTGCGTGATGGACTGCAAGATGGGCGTCAGGTGAGCCGGGCTCCTGGGAGCGCGTGCCGCGTACCACGCCTGGCCACACCACAGATACTGGGACAGCACCCAAGGTTTCCAGGAGGCTGGGCGTCCTGGGCCATCCCTGAGGCCTCACGTGCGCAAGGGCAGGCCTGGGGGTCTGCTTGGACTAGTGGAGCCCCTTGCCCACCTCTGTTGTCTCACATTACGTGCAGACGGGACAGGGACCTGGCTTTGCCCCCGATGCCCTGCCCTTCTCCCGTGAGCTGGGGTGGGGCCAGAAAATGGGCCTGGCGGGGTACTGAGTGTCCCCTGTGAGAGGGCAGAGGGAACTGCCCATCTGGTCAGGTGGGATTGCTGGGGGTAATTACCAACTCCCACGTGGCTTGCTGTTGCATGAGCTGTGAGGGGGAGGCTGGAGTAGAGGCTCTTCTCACCCCTCCCTCCCAAGCACCCTCCCCCGGACCAGCGAGTGGGAAGAGAGAGCTGGTTAGTGGAACAAGTTGGTTTGCCAGAAAGACTGGTGCTGCCCTCAGAGTACAATAGAGGAGGGAGCCCAGGAGCTCTAGAGGCCCTGGCCACACACACCGTATGGTTTCCTCCCCTTCTCAGCAGGGGGTGGTGAAGTCCTCTGGGGCTGTCAGCCGCGGAGTGTCCAGTGTGCTGTGCTCACCTCAGAGAGCCACCTGGCTACAGGTACCTGGTCTGGACGGGACGGCCAGACACTGGACTCACAGATCCAGGTCCACGGCTCCCTGGAGTGGCCAGGCTTCGAGAAGTAGAGCTCAGCTAGAGTCCGTGTGTTTTGGGTGATGCTGTAAACAGTTTTATTTCTTACAAGAGGAGATTGAGAAAGAGGGTGTGTGTGTGTGTGTGCGCGTGCGTGCGTGTGCACGCATGTGTGCACACACACACACACACACCGGAGAGACCAGTCATCCTCCCCTCTCACTCCTCCTGGGAGTTGTCCCGAAGTCAGACCCTGCAGGCTGACCTGCTGTGCCCATTAGTGTTGCCTCCAGGACAGGGATGGGGGATGGGGAAGTCAGGTCCCACTATTTGCTCTTGCACTGTCCTTGGCCTCCCTCTCTTCCTCCCTCCCTCCATCCATCCATCCATCCAGGGCCCTCACCAGCTCCAGCCAGGGAGGAGATAGAACATCCCTCCAGCCACCACTTGGCCGCTGCTCCTCCCTAGAGCCTTGTTTCTGTCCCTAGAAGCTCCCCTCCCCCACCTCTTGGTGCATCAGAATGCACCCTCTCAAGGGGAAACATAAACATTGTGGATGCTGTTCACTAAGATCGTGACCAAAAAAAGTATACCCTGTGGGAAGAACACATGGCCAGACAGTGTACCTGTGTGTTCCCTGAGAGATTGCTGGGCACAGGAACCCCTTTCTGCCCAGGGATGCCCCCGCACTCCCCCCCCCTTCCTGCCCCTTGTAGCTTCTGTCCCACTGCAGAGGGCTCTCAGGAGAGACCCAGAGTGACCAGCGAAGCTGGGACACATTTAATAACCCAGTTCTGCACAGGGCCTGGAGGCAGAGGGAGTGGGGTGAGAGCAGCCTATGTGGAGGGGAAGGGATAGGTCTCCCCAGAACCAGTCCCCCCGCCAGCCCCACCTTCCCTGCCTCATGGATCCCAAGGACGGACCCTTCTGTGCTTCGAGTACTGCACTAGGTGCTTCGAGTACTGTGCTAGGTGCTCCTCACGGCCACCTGGGTCTGAGCAGGAGGGCTTTGACACCAGAGGTGAAGGAACCCATCAGGGCCACACGGCCCCCTCAGGCCTGCATACTGAGCCCTGGGCTGAACCCTGCACTTCCCGAGGGGGCTCTGTGGGGCTCTGCACCCAGAATCCTTGGCCTCAGAGCCTCTCCTGAGACCAGCATTCCATGGGCCCCAGAGCATGGCCTGTTCTTGCCAAGCAAGGAGACTGGACCCCAGGACCACCAGAGACACCGAGTCCCGAGCATCAGGGGTTGAGACTTGTCACAGAGCAGTGGTGGAAGTTCTGATAGGCAAGTCCAGCCTCAGGCACAGTGGGGCCTAAGGAAAAGGTGATGGAGGTGCCTACAGTGTCCTAAACTGGGGGTGTCTCGGGACCCCAGTTCCATATCAGCACTGGGGTGTTTTCTTAGGTTTGACCCTGTAAATCTGTGGTATGTGACCTGTCACTGAAAGTCGGAAGTGACTTCCTGACATCCTACTAGGGTCTGGTCGGTGGAGACTAGTGCTATCTCTAGCACCTCTGCCCTGTTTGAAGCTGTGGATGGCATTGGTGTCACCAATTAGGTCCCCCGCCATCCCTCTTAACCCCACCACCAGTGTGAGATGGAGGTTTGACCTTCCCTCTGGGATGGGTGGGGCGGGCGACAGGGCAGCCTGGGGGGACTGCGGTTCGTCTCCTGGTGGATGCCCAGCCTCACTGTCTAGCTGGTGACTTGTGGGCATCTCTGCCCAGCCCTTTTCTTGTCCTGGAGGGCGAGCAACTCTAGTCAGATTTAGCGGCAGGGGCCCTGTGTGGAGAAAGCCCCATGTGAAAGGGATTTGACATGAGGCCTGCTTCCTGTTTAAGGAGCTCCTGAGAGCTCTTTGCAGAAGTGCAGCCGCCCACCGCCCTGCAGTTTATCAGGGGCGTTTGGGATGCCCGGCCCCTCGCCCCACTGCATGCGCGCGCGCGCGCACACGTAGGTCCACGTGCACGGCTCCGGGCAGACACATCCTGCCTCACAGCCTCTGCCTGACTCTCGTCACCTGTGACCTGTCTTACACGCACAGTAGTGTGTGAGCACACATGTGTGGGCGTGGGCATGGGCGTGCGTGTAAGTGCATAACCAAGGCCAATCGTCTTACTTCTTCGTCACCTCCTAAGGTCCTGAATGACCAGACCCAAGTTCACACCCAGGGATTTATTTTTTTCTTACATCAGTTGACACAGTGGTTTCTGAAAACGTATCTTTTAAAGACGTCATGAATTTGACATCCAGTCAGTTCCAGGTCCCAAACCAGCAGCTTGGAGAAGGTGTGGGGAGACGTCGGGGAGCAAGGCCCCGGAGACAGATGGGGGAAAGTGGGGGGCTGGCCTGTTGTCACAGCAGGCTGCCTGTGGGCAGCTGCCACCCACGCAAGGCCGGGGGACAACACTTCCCTCTCTTGCACATTTCTGTTTCATGAAGGGTCACGGGCAGCAGCTGAGCCTGCTATGGAGGGAGAGTGGGAATTTAAAATGCCAGAATGGAAGAGGGCAGGAGTGGGTAAAGTGCCACTCTCAGTGGGGATGAGGGAGGCGGCCAGGGCTGCTCGAGTCCTGCACTGTCCCTGCTCCTGTTACCCCGCCAGTGTCCACGGGGCCCCCGCCGGTTCAGTGGGCAGGCCCAGCTTGCTAGTGTGGACGGCAGGGCAGTGAGCCATTGGATTGGCTGCATTTTCTCTGGTTTTTCGGGCTGGGGGCTGAGGTGTGAGGACGCGTGGCCTGGGCTGAAGCCTGGTTTCCATGGGGCAGGATGAACCGGGAATGTCCCTGCAATAGAACAGAGGGCAAGGAGCCCCAGGTTTCTCCTCCCATCGTGGGCTGCTTCTCCAGCATGGTGGCTTTTTCGGAAGACCACCTTATGGCCCGACCTTTGTACTCAAAATTTCTCATCTTTGGAGAGAGCCAGAGACATTTAAGGGCCTGCTTGGCCCCTCAGGCTGCCTGAGAACTGGGGAGATGGGTGGGGTGGGGGAACAGAATGAGCCCTCCGACCCACACTGGTGCTGGCTTCAGAAGCCCTTGACCCCAACAGGATGAGGGGAGGGGCGGCAGGACAAGCCCACCTCGCCCACCCAGATACCCTGCCTCCTCCTCCCCTCATCTGCTAGCCCCATGAGGTTCCCCTAGCAGGAAGAGCGCCTTAGGCTGTGCCAGGCCTTCCCAGTGGTCTTGGAACGAAGGTGCCCCCATTCAGCAAGGCCACCCCCGTTCTCCTCAGTCAGGAGCCAGCTCCGGCCCATCCTGCTTGAGCCTGGCTTGATAAAGCTGACTGCAGCCCTTCAGCAAGGCACCGGTGGCCACAGCCCTCATGTGACCTCCCCTCCCACACAGAACCTACCTGGAAGAGGAGCTCACCAAGGCCCGGAAGAAACCCAGCCTCCGGAAGGATATGTACCAGAAGATGATTGAGGTGGACCCTGAGGCCCCGACCGAGGAGGAGAAAGCCCAGCGGGCTGTGACCAAGCCACGGTACATGCAGTGGAGGGAGACCATCAGCTCTACAGCCACGCTCGGCTTCAGGATCGAGGGCATCAAGGTGAGGCCAGCCAGGTGCTTCCTAGAGCTGCCTGGACCACCCAGCTCCCAGGTGGAGAAGGGATGGGGGCTTGGTCTCTGCCAGCATCTACCCCGAGGGTCCTGGCTGCCGTAAGCTTCCTCCCTCTCAGTCCCAGGGACAGTCCCAGGGACTGTGAGCAGCCAGCTCCCGGGACAGATATTTGGAGAAATCGGCCCACCGCTCAGTCTGGGGATAGGTGTGGCTTCTAGTTCTGCCAGCAGTCAGCTCTCTGCCAAGGACTCTACCCTTAGCCCAGACCATGCTGAGCCCTGAGAACCCACCCAGGAGCCACCAGTTTGCAGGATGCCAGTAGGGAGAGCTGGCTTATTCTGCACATGTCCCCAAAACTGGGGACTGGCAGTGAGATGCAGTCAAGGGAGGGAGCCCTCTGGCTTCCTTTGACCTCCTAGGTCTGCCTCAAGCAGGCAGGACCAAGCACTGCTCCTCTGTGTCACCAAATACACCTGGTAAGGCTGCACTGAGGCCACCCCACAACTTCACAGCCACCTCATTCTTTCTTCTCTCCTCTTCAGTCTCCTGAGAGGGGTCTGAGAATGCTCTCCCTTTATCCTTGCTTTGGGGTTTGAAGAGCCAGCTCAGACATGCGTTCACCCCAAGGAGCAAGACTGAGGCGCCAGGCCCCTCAGGTCTCTGGCACCATCGCTCCACAGCAGCTATCGGTCCCTGCAGCATTCTTGGATCTCCATTGTCTGTCCATGCTCGGCCCACATTTGTCCAGACCTAGAGTCAGGGCTGGGCGGCTGGGAGCCCTAACTCACCAGCAAGCGGAAGCCAGGGCAGGCTCTGCAGCCGCCCAGAAATTGGCATTTGGGTATAAGGTCCTGCAGTTGGCAGTGCCTTGCTGCCGATGGTGGCACCTTCCCCCGGGACAGCTGCTCAGAGCTCTGGACTGAGAAAGCCATTTGCCCCCCTTCCTGTCTTCTGAAACCAGTTTTTTTTTACATCCAGCTCTCAGACTGGATGCAAATGACACGCTTGTCTTTCTCCCCGTGAAGCTCATTTTCCCTTCTCTGTTTGAAACAATCCACAAGTCCTTTCACCTCTCCCTCTCAAGCTGGATGCTCTGGTCTTTGTCCATCATCCAGCTGCAGGAACAGCCAACAGCCCGTCTTCTTGAGCTGAGGGCCACCAGCTCTGAGAGAAGCCAGTGTCTTCACTAGCAATCCGCCGGCCTCCCCCGGCCCACAGAGACCTCGCAGGAAAGGCTCCGCCACCATGTGTGTGCACCCTGCGTCCACCCCGCAGCCCAGGGCCCCACCTGTTCTTTCAGAGGCAGCCACAGCGCTTTCACTAATCTCCAACCTCATGATGCACAGGCCCAAGTGTGCGGGCTCCTGGAGAAGCCATCCTGTCTCACCCTTTGTCCCTAAAGAGCTGCTTTCCTCCTAGAGGAGGTAAGCTCCACATGCTTCCCTGACATAGTGCCGGCTGAAGAGAATGAAGCCATCTCACATGCTGGGGGGACCAGGGAGCAGAGAGGGCAGGCAGTATCATTTCCTGACTTTCAGGAAACCTGTGGTAAAAGATCTGAAATTACAAAGGGAGTTGAGCTGAACTTGGAGTAGGGAGCGCCTCTCTCCTGTCTGGTGAGGGAGGGTGCCTCTGGATGGCAGGGACCTTCCGGCACTCGGGCCTATCCATCTCTTTCACCCCTGCTGCTCCCACAGCCTCCATGCTCCGTCCACATGCCTCTCACACTTCCAGGCCTTTCCTGATGCTCTTCCCTCTACCTAGAACACGCTGGTGCGCCCACCCAGCTGTGCCACCTCTCCTGTGCCCCCCGATTAACCACCGTGCAGCCGGTGGTGCAGGCGCCGGCCTCCTTGTACCACCCATGTGGGCACCTTGCTGCACAGGGTCAGCCCTGGACTGAGTGCCTTTCTCAGATGCCGGGTAGGTGAGCAGAGTACCTACTCATGGAACCTTGACTGACCCTGTCTGGGGTTCTCCTTCTCAGAAAGAAGACGGCTCTGTGAACCGGGACTTCAAGAAGACCAAAACACGGGAGCAGGTCACCGAGGCCTTCAGAGAATTCACGAAAGGAAACCGTAACATCCTGGTGAGTTCAGGGCGCCCCTGAGAGGGAGCCGGGCCATGGGGTCTGTCGGGCAGGATAACTGCCCGCTCTAGAGAGTCTTGCCCAGACCCAGATGGAGCCAGGCCACAGCAGTGGCAGCCAGAGTGCCCACGCAGAAAACCCAAACTTCTTCTTGGAAGGTGAAGCGGAAGGTGATGTGGAGGGGAGCCCTGTTCGGCGGGAAACGGAAGCTCGGGGAGCACTCACTCTCTCCTTCCCTTAGCTAAGAAACCCCACAGCTAAGAAAGTGTTTTCCAGCCTCACAAGAGAATCCTTTCCATCGCTGCGTTTCTTTAGCACCCTCTGCCTGCCACCTGTTATGCTGAGTGCTTATCCAGTCCTCATCACAGCCCCCTGGAGTTGGAAACTCCAGTCTTGGAAACTAAGAGGTCAAGGACACACAGCTAGGTGAAGCTGGAGTTCGCCCAGGCGGGCCGGCAGCCCACGGGTTCCAAGCTCCCCACTCCTCCCAGCCTTAGCCGGGCCTCTACCCAGCTGTGAGGCTGGGTGAGGGAAGTGTACCTCAGGGGCGGGATGGGGGGTTATTTGCCCTCCCCAGCAAGAACTGGCTGGCTGTTTCTGTGGGATACATGGCAGAAGTGCAGGGCAAAGTGACCTCCTTTGCTACTGCCGCAGTAGGCAGGCTGGACAGATTCTCTGACCACTGGGATCAGGACCCTGACCCTCCCAACAGAGGTAGGGCGTATCGAGCCGTTGCACCCCAGGGGCAGGATGCCCTGAGACAGTCAGAGACCCAGGCACATCAGGGACATGGACACTGGGAGAGGCACCTTCGCCTGAACAGCCTCCCAGGGCTACCGGGCAGGAAGGGGTGAACCAGACACCTTTTCTCCAAGAAGACAACGCCAACTGGAACTGAGAACTTGCTCTTCCTTTCCTGGCCGGGAGACTTCCCTTGGCCCCTGGCGAGCACCGAGGCTTCAGTCATGGAGCGTGCATCCCAACTCTCCCATAGCCTGGGCCTCTGGGTGCGGGGTCAGGCTCCTCAGCAAAGCCTGCCACAGAACGCACGCTTCCTGGGCCTGCACGAGAGGGGTTTATTCCTGGTCCTCAGCTCCAGGCTGGCTCCGCTACAGATGGGCACTGAGGGACCATGCGTGCCCATGTGCGACAGGCTTCCCCAGCGGTCCCCAGGGGAGGCGGGCACCCCTAGGGCCAGCACAGTCATCCCTGGTTTGGAGGGCTCTGTGGAGAGGCCCCTGGCAGAGATATTTGTGGCTCTCCCACTTGGTCTGTCCTTTCAGAAGTCAGGGCACTGGAGTTTGTATTCAGGAAGACACCATGGCAACCGGGCTCTTGGGATGCTGCCTGCCTGTATGCTGCTGGCATTCCAGAATAAACCTAACCTTCCTGGAGGCAGCACAGCTGCTCGGGAACTGTGTCTCCCAGCCCCTCCTGCTCGCAAAGCAGTGCAGACTGGAGAAAGCATGGGAACAGGAGCCAGCCACCCTGCCTCTCTGGGCCTCCGTTGCTTCCTTTCTAGATGAGGAGGTTGGAATAAATTATCAAGGTGTAAGGTCCCTCACACTCTGACACTCAGGGACGCTAACGGGCCAAATGGGACTTCAGATCCACCCCTCCCACCACCACCCTCAAGTGTTTAAAAATCGGGTCATCTTTCTGTTCCCAGATTGCCTACCGGGACCGGCTAAAGGACATTCGGGCCACCCTAGAAGTTTCTCCCTTCTTCAAGAGCCACGAGGTAGGTATTGGGCTGTTGCCGTCTTGGGCAGAGAGCCGTGATCATATGGCTGGCCACGACCTGTGGGCCTGCCGCCTCAGGTGTGAGCACACCTCCCTCAGGAACAGGTCTGCTTGCTTCGAAAGGCCAGGGATGACTGCAGCCAGAGGCAGGCCCTCCGGGACCAGGCCCCTCGCCTCAGGCAGCACCCAGGTCGTGCCGCACCTGTGCCAGGCTCCCTGGGGTGCCCACACTGGGCTGTCCTGCCCGAGATCTCAGGTCACCACCTTCTGTCTTCTCCCAGCCACTGTGGCTCATTCCAGGTGGTTGTGGCAGGACACTTGTGTCCCACACACCCAGGGGTCTCAGAGCAGGAGCTCTCTGCGCCGCTAGAGTAGCCGAGTAACCCCCATCAGCACCCTGAGACCTGCAGGAGGGGCAGGCAGGTCTTCAGGTACCACTCCCAGAGCAAGGCTGGAACGCCCACCCGCTCACGCCTTCGTCTGCAGGGCAGTAGGCAGCAGACGAGAAACTGGACACCCAAGAGAAGATTTGAGAATTGTCAGCAGGATCCCTGGAGGGGTTTGTAAGATCTTGACGTCAGGGAGTCCAGGGCTCCCAGTCCCACACATGAGCACACTGACATGTGCGCGCACACACAGCTGCAGCCCTCTCGGCACGCACGCCGCTCCCCCAGGAATAGTTACGTTCTCAGGTGCCCTCTCCCCTTTGGCCTCGCTGAAGCCCAGTGTCCCCAGGTCCTAGGCTCCTCCTGGGGCCTCTGTCTTCCCAGCGGGATACAAGGTCACTGTGCAGCCTGCCAGTTTCAGCCCGTGTGCTTCCTCTGGAGGATGGGCTGCCCAGCACGTGGCCCTGGGGACCGAGCCTGGAAGGACTTCAGGCCACAGCGCCGCCTGTGACTTCCTGTGTTGGGTGGGAGGAAGCCCACTCGGCAGCCCCAGGCTTTGTCTCACAGCTTTGCCCTCCCTTCTAAGCACCTTTGCTGTTATTTCTTCATTTAAAATTAAAAAAAAATATATATATATATATATATAGTATATTAGCTATACTTACCTGGAATCTCACTGGGAAACTTCAGGTCCAAAAAGAGGCCAAATTATCAGGGCTTCTGTCATGTCTCACCTGGGAAGAAGCCCCTTTTCTGGGCTCAGCATTTCCAGGGGGTCTTCCCTGCTCTTCCCAGGGCCCTGGGAGCTGTAATGACCTCTCAGCCCCTCCCTGCACCCCCTCATTTGCTTCTTGCCCCATATGGTGACCCAGCAGAGGGTTTGGGGGAGGTGTTTATATTTGTGTCCATGCAGTCGCCCTGACCTGGCCCAGGGCAGGGAGGGCTCTCTGGTGCAGGACCCGGGCTGAGAGACCCTGCTGGGCCTGCCTGCCCAGGATTTGCAGAGGTGGTGCTGCTGGCACGAGGGTTGACATGGGCCTCATTGCCCGGTACGGAGGGTGGCATCTCCTTGGCCCCCCTCCCATTCACATGAGCAGTTACTTCAGGGAGTTGGGGAGTCGGGGTCTAGGAGGGGAAAGGCGAGGCCCCAAGGAGTAGCTGTGGTCTGAAATAGTGGAAAGTGTGCAGACTGGATGACGGGGGGAACCTGCCATCTGGGACGTCCTCTCTGCCATACCCCCCACACAGACGGGTGGTTGCTGTTTTGAAATTTGATGTCCTGTGATTCCCCACCCCCACCCCCGGTATGGCCACTCTCCTGTGGGCTCTGCTGCCCAGGTGAGAGAGGGACACAGAGTTGCAGGCTCCAGGCCTATCCTGAGGGACCTCTCCTCATTGCGTTCAGGCCTCAGGCTTTTCCAGGTCCCCTCAGGCACCAGGCTGCAGTGTGGAGGGCAGGGCAGGGGCTCTGGGGTCCCTTCCTGCTCTCTTCATCTCCCTGCCCCCCTGCAGGTCATCGGCAGCTCACTCCTCTTCATCCATGACAAGAAGGAACAGGCCAAGGTGTGGATGATCGACTTTGGGAAAACGACACCCCTGCCTGAGGGCCAGACCCTGCAGCACGATATCCCCTGGCAGGAAGGGAACCGAGAGGACGGCTACCTCTCGGGCCTAAACAACCTCATTGACATCCTGACGGAAATGTGCCCGGGTCCGGGCACCCCCCTTGCCTGAGGACACCCCGCACCCACCTCACTGCCACCCTTGGTCCCTTTTCTCCCTCTTTGGCTTCCTTTCTTCTTAATTTTTCTTTCACTTCTACCTGGGTGCAGGCCCCAGAACTGACCCTCCCGAACTGCACTACAAGACACTTTGTAGAAGAGAAGACAGACTTTCTAATTATTTTCCTAATTGAAGGGCTTGGAGCTGGGGCTTGCACTTCTCTCTGTAAATAGAATCTCCTACTAGAAGAGTAATAATGCCTGCAGGGTATGTCAGTTGGGTTTAGATCTGGATGAGGCTCCGGGCCCCCTGGGTAGGCTACCTGTGGGGACCTGCTGCCCCCTGGCGGCAGGTGCCATTAGCACCACAGCTCAGCACAGCGCATTTCTGCCGGGTCCTCCCAGCCTGGCAGGGGGCTGTTCAGAGCCTTGTTCAGCAGGTGCCGGCTTTTTTGTGGTTGGGACGCAGAATCACTAGGAGCCGCATGTGGGCCATGAGTAAAGCCTTCTCTGCTTAGCAGCTCAGGGGCTCCCAGAGACCTGTGGTGGCCTTTGTAGGGCTGCTAAAGCCGGGCCCTTCACCGGCTGGTTGAAACCATCCAGCTTTGTTGGTGCCAGACCCAGGAGCCAGGAGAAGGCCTGAGCCCACCTGGCTGTGCTCTCTGATGCTGGCCTTCCCAGTTGGGGGCAGGCAGGAGCTGTGTTCTTCTACCTGTGACGATTGCCCATGAATTCGGAGGGATGCTCTGCACACCTGAGCTTCCAGGGCTCTACCCCACCCCCAAAACCACTTGTGCCTTTCACTCCCCACCTCGATGTGGCAAGGCCAGGGGGCTGAGTGGGAGTGGGCTGGGGTGCAGGCAGCTCCCAGGAGAAGAAAGACAGAGTCTGCAGAGGACACTCCTCACCTCTCCCACCGCCCCGGTACCACCCGGGCCTCCCTGCAAACCAGAGGTTCTTTCATGAGGTCCAGAGGCCCTGCAGTTCCAGGCGGGGCTTCAGGCCAGAGCCAGGCAGGGAGGGAACAGGAAGCTGGTTTACTGGCTTGTTTGTGTGTGTGTCCCCCCCCCTCGTCTTCCCCCAAATATGTCTTATGGCCTGAAGGGCTTAGACCCACATTTCCCAAATATGGTGTGGGCAGCTTCCAGGGCGTGTGGTGGGTGCCAGGGGGTGCTCCAGGCACCTCCTCCTGGAGCTTCTAGGGGGCTTAAAGATTCGTGGAGAACCAAGTGTAAGCCTTATTCTAATTGTAAAGCAAGTAAGTCTATATTATTGAGAAGAATGTAAAATTTACATGACTTTTTAAAGACATGTAATTCCGGCTATGGCCACTTGAAGCTGTGCCCCCCGGTACCCCCCTTTGCTGTCGGAGGAGAGTTGGGGACCAAGCCAACAGGCACTGGGCCCGTTGCTCCAGAGGGAGCTGCTTCAGGGACATAATGGAGGTAGTGTGTGCCCAGGTGTGTGCGTCTGGAGGGACCAATCCAGAGGGAGGGCTTCCTGGGTCCCCCCTCACCCCCCCTTATCACCACAGGGTCTCTGGGGGAACTGTCAACTCGCCCATGTGACACCTAAGTTTCCCCTTTCATGCTGGGTGAGTGACAGTTGATGGGGGCGGAGGGTGGGACACAAAGATGTGTAAGTTCAGATTTTAAAAAAGGAAATCGCTTTTAAACTTCTGGCTCTTGTTCAAAATAGTGGTGAACTCCAGTGTGGGCTGACTCGCTAAAGGTCACACCCCCGCCCCTGTGGAGCACAAGAGACCTCGTGATAGCCCGTGATCTTGGAAGGCAGGCGCACCACCGGGGCTGTCCTCACTTAAGTTAGAAGGGACCGCCCCACACCCCCCACCCCCCGTGGCCTGTGTGCAGCTCTCTGGGAAAGGATCTCATTCATTCAGACATCAAGTGTCTACAACTATGGGCTGGCCAAAAGTTACCCTCCTTCTATCTATGAAAAAAAGTTTGCTAAAGCAAATGAATGCTATGAACAAAAATTACCGGGACCAGCTACACCTACTTAAAAGAACAAAATTTCCAAGCACTTTAAGCAAACACCTGTTGTTTGCAAACAGTGTGCTAATATGCAAATGATTTGTTTGTTGGCAGTACTTTGCTTTGGGTTACATTATATATGTGACAGTGGCATAAAGTGGCATCTTTTTAGGGTTATTGTATTCCTTAAGGGGTTCTGGGGTTTTTGTATTTGCTGTGTTAGTTCTCCTCTTCTGCACCTACTCTATCTCCCAACCCATTGTCCCCTTTGTCCTCGCACCCCCTTTGGCCCAGTGGGATAGAGGGATCCTGGGATGGAAGTTTCCAGAACGCCTGCCCAGGCTGTCTGCAAGACCTCCCTGCCCCGTCCCCAACCCCACAGTGTTCTTGGTGTTCAGCACTGCTTAGCCTTCAAGGAAGGTTTTCCTTAACTGCTCATCCCAGACTTGCCTTTAGCGTCATGTAAGAAGTTTTTAAGTTATATTTATTTTGTTGGTTTTTTTTTTAATTGCACAAAACACTAAGACTGAGAGGCTGGACATTCTGTTTCTCCTGTAAAGCTCGGCCTTCTTTCTAAACTTCTTTCCCTGCTTGGTGGGAAGAGCCTGGACACAGTCCTGGTGCCCCACCCCCACCCCAGGCGGACTCTGTCTCCGTTAGCTGTATTTAGCTTCTGAGTTTCTCTACAGGTGGTCAGCCCCCGTGTGTACATAACACATGCGCCTTCTTGGGAAGCAGGGTGTGCACCCCTTGCAATGCCTTTTCCCTGGAGGAGAAGACTCCCCAGAGGGTTCTCCTTCTCTCTGCACCCCTCTCCCCACAGCACGTTGGAGAAAACTGAACTGTTACAAACCCCCCTCCCCCCACAGTGCCTGTCAGATGCTCTGTATCTTCCTGAATAAAGGCCCTGGAGACCACGTGCTGTCTGCGGTGTGGTCCTTCTGACCCCAAGCCCTTGAGAAGTGGCTCAGGGTGGGGGGCACTTTGGAAGCTGGAGGATTGAGTTGGGACTGTGACACCCCCCCGGGAATGGAGTCAGACTGGGTAACATTTTAATCTGCAAAGGAATTGGAACACTCTTCAAAACAAGTTAAAAATATGCTCCACCCCCCCCCAAAGAAAAGGGTTGATGGGGGTGGAGGGTGGAACACAAGGATGTATAAGTTCAGATTTTTAAAAAGGAAATCACTTTTAGATTTCCTGGCTTTGTTCAAAATAGTGGTGGACTCCTATGTGGTATTTTCTATCTTCTTCACAAAACCTATATTTACACAGTAGCTCAGGGACATCAAACAGCCACAAAGAAGTGCTCCATCCTGGGATGGGGGAGCCTCTGCAGCCTTGGCGGGGGGTAGGGGGGGCTTATGTCTGTAGTCCCCTTTTATCCCTACATCAACTCCATGAACAAAGTTGCGTTGTCTCCGTTTTACAGATGGAGACACTGAACCTTAGAAAGACCAAACACCTTGACTTGGGTAGTAAGTGGGGAGCAGGGGTTCAGATCCAGAATTTGCTTGGTTTCAGAACCAGTTCTGTCTTTCTCCCTCCCTGAAGAGCGTCTGGAGGGCAGGGAGCTCATGTTATCTTTTCCAAGATCCCATGTGCTAAGCACCGGGATTAGCACAGGGTTTGGTACCATAATGAATGATGCAGGGCTGGGATGGCAAGGAATAGAGGGGAGCCAGGACCCCGGCAGCACATCAAAGATTCACTACCGTCTACCCTGCACGTCCCTTCAGGCCTCTCCCAGCTCTGCCTGCATGGCTGGAGGTTTCATTTGCAGAATTCTCTATTTGGGAGTGTGTCCTTTCCTTATTTTGAAAAGTTACAGGGCAAAAGTGCAGAAAAGCGGCAGGACCTTTGCACCTTTCTGTCCCTTCTGCCTGGAGTGTGTTCCCCGGGTTATCACATGGTAACAACGGTAACTTCAGATTCTGCCATCTGTATCTTAACTCTGTGGGTTCCCACCAACATCCGCTCAGGTTCACCCTGGGATCTGCCCAGGCCTGTGCCTCTGTAACTTTGAAGTCTGGGGGATTTAAGCCCCCATGGTATAAACCTGGCACCAATGGGAGAAAAGAACACGTAGGGAGGTCTTTTCTGTCACCTCCCACCCCACTGATGGGTGCAACCTGACTAGCTTTCCAGTGGGTGGTCCCATGAGATCAAGCCGCCAGTTGCACTTAGTGGGACCACCTTGATCACTATCCTTGTATCGATACAACCTGACCTTGTCCCTTACTTCGATGGCTGAGTTGCATTCTTAAAAAAAGCAGTAGAAAATAGGCCTCCCTTCGGGCTCTGCTCACTGGAGAACCCAAACAGACATACCGTCATTTAGGTCTTGGCTCAGATGCTTCCTTGGAAAGGTCTCTGAACCCCCAGCTAAAGCAAGGCTACCTCAGCCACTGTCTCCTCCAGTGCCCTGTCTTATCTGTCACAAGCCACCTCAGTGTTCACAGCCATCTGCAGGACTTGGGGTCCATCTCTTCCATTGCCACGTTGCTGAGGGCGGGGACTTGATCCTGCTGTTTTCTTCAGTGTCTAGCAGTGCCAGGCACATGACAGGTGCTCAATAAACGGCTAGGGTGCCTGAGCGCCCTCAGGCAGTCGGGGTGCATGGACACCCCTTCTTAGGAGAAGACAAACTCCCAGTTGGGTGAGTTCCTGGCCTCTCCGCCCTCGCCTCCAGCGTTCTCACCCTGAGCGCCCTGTGGCCATCCCCTCTCAGTGTCTTTCTCTAGACCTTGTCAATAACAATGATTGACCAGCAGAGTTGCTCAACACATACTTTCTGGATTGGATGAGTGTCTGTCTTCAGCTCCCAATCCTTTCCCTCTGTGGTCACTCCCCAGGGCTTTGCGATCAGCCCCAACCGCGGGCCACCCTGTGGTCGTTAAACATTGCTCCTTGTATCACGCAGGCTTCCCCGCCCAGCCGTCTATGGCCACTGCCTGTTCCTCCTCCCCACCCCACACCTTGGCCACACACAGGACAGGAGCTCCTCTATAATTAGGGGGGCCAGGAGCATCCAGGCCCTCAACTTCTGCACCCCCTCATCCTGATAACCGGGAGTGGACCCCACTGGCCATGGGGAAAGGACTAGACCCCCGGTGGTGGAGGAAAGGCTTACAGGAGGCTGGGTACCACCCGGGGAACATGGCCCCTGAATGGGGAAGTTTGTCCTCTGGCTCAATTAATGGGATCTTGGGCCTTTCTGCCTGTCAGACGAATGTCAATGGCCAAGACTGCCCCCTGAACCCCGCCTGCCCTTCGGGGAGGGAATCAGCGTGTGAACCAGACAAAGCTCCAGGCAGCCCCTGCCGACACGCCCCATCGCGTGCTGTGTGGAGACCACGGCTGGGACTTCGTGTCGCTCCAGCTTGGCACCCCAGCTTCACAAGGGCTTGAGCTTGGTCCCTCTGGCAGGGAGGGGTGCCACCTCTCTCCCTCAACAGACCTCCTAGGGCCTGGTCTGGCGGGGAATCTAGAAAACAGCCTGAACAAGTCGCTCACCTGCTTACACCCCTTGGGAGCATCTTGGCTTCCTTAGGTCAAGGGGCAAGTGTGAGCGCTCTGTCAGCTGCAGGTAAAACTATCCTACTTATACACCGGAAACGGGGGCTCACTGTGAGACGGATCTGGGCCCAAACTCTATTACCTCATGGACTCTATAAGCCCCTGTCTCACCAGAGGGCCATGTTGGCATCAGGTCTCGGGTAGCATTGTCAGCACAGGCCCCAAAAGATGGACGTTGGCTGCCGCAATGGGAAATTGCAGACCCTTGTAGAGCTAAGTCAGCTCACAGACGAGACCACGGACGGAAGGCCTGCCCCACGCCTCACCTCCCACAGCATTCCCGTTACCGCAGGTGAAGGCTGTGGTAAGTGATACGGCCACCTTACTTCCACCAGCAATGGAGTCCCTGTTGCCTTCAGACTAGTGGGCAATCCAACTCCAAAATCCCACCCTGAGGTTTTGCTTTTCCCGGGCCAGTCCTGCATACTGCTTCTGGCAGCAACTGCCTTGGCCTGGATTCCCTACAAAAGGGAACCTAAGGTAGAAGCTTATGAGCCAACATTTTATTGTGGAGAGTGATCCCGAAGGTGCAAAGTAGGGGAGGTGGGGGAATCAAGGCAGAGACAAAGGCAACAGACGCAGGGGAAAGTGTCAGCGAGGCGGATGCACTGGCCTTGGGAGGCGGTCCTGGGGGAGGCAGGGATAGAAATGGCCTCGCCAACCCCTTCCTGCTCTGCCTCCCACTGGTCATCTGCCCTTAGGGGTGGCAAGGCCAGCCTCTCCAGCAGCCTGTGCACAAGTGCCCATCCCCTAGTGGGTCAGCGTGCTGCTGGCAGTTGGGTCATGTGGCTTCATGACAGTGGGGGCGGCACCGGCCACTGCTGAGTAGCTCCAGTCGGAGGCGCTGCATGGACTAAGTTTGATGCCAGCAGGGCAACGCCCACCGTCCCCTACCCTCTGCCAGACCTCCATTCTGCCCCTTAGAGTTCCCTGAGGGACTCACCCTCTTACCCAGTTGAGCAGAAAGCTGGGGTCACATCAAATTATCCCCCAATTCTGCTAGATTTAGGGAGAGGAGAGAAGTTGAAAGTAGTAGACTCCCTGAGGGTCTGCAGGGGGTTTGCTGGGGAGTACCCGGCTGCTTTGGTAACAAGGAGGCTGTCTTCAGACCAAGGACCAGATGGAAAACCTCCTTGAACCAGTTTGAGAACCAGCAGTTAGGAGGAAGGCCTCAGGGACAGGGACTGGGAGACCCACGCCTGCCTCTAGGTAGCTGTAGCCTGGTCAGCCCTGGGACCTCTCGTCCCCACATCTGCCAGGGCCTCAAGATCAAGGGGGTGGGGGTCTTCACTGAAGTCTGGGAAATTACTTGGCTTAACACAGTGGTTCTTCACCTTTTGGGGTTCACAGATGCCTTAAAGGGAGCTCTGCACCCTCTTCCCAGAAAAATGCCTGTATGCATTACACAAAGTTATAACCAAATTAAGGGACTCTGAGCCAGTTCCCAAAGCCCCTTAATAAATCCCCAGGTGGTGAATGGGCCCCCGGCTTAAGAACCCTTGGCTTGTAAAAGCCCTTTCCAATAACACATGTTGACGCAGGCCCGTTCCCTCACTGCATTGACTTTGTGTGCATCAGAGACCAGCCTGGCATCTGTCCCCTTTCTTTCCCCCCTCCCATAACCATCTAGCCTTCTGAACAGGCGTCGCCTTAGAACTGGGGCCCATCTGTTTGTAAATAAAGCTTTATCAGAAAGAAGCATGCCCATTCCTTTATGAACCGTCTGTGGCTGCTTTCTACTAAAAGAGCAGAGTCGAGTAGTTGCCAGAGACTACTGGCTGCAAAGCCTAAAATATTTACTGTCTTGCCTTTTACAGTCCTCCAACCCCTGCCTTACAATAACAGTGGCCATTGATGAAGAATCACTACCTATCAAGCACCATACTGGATGATTTAAGGCTAAGTGATTTAATCCTTATAAAAACTCCAGGAGATGAGCTTTGTTAACCCCATTTGGTCCGTGAGAAAGTAGAGGCACAGAGAGGGTAAGTAACTTATCTAAGGTCACACAGCTGGTGAACAGCCGACCCAGGCTTTGAACCAAAGCTCAAGCTGTTTCCAGATCCTGCATGACTGAGTCTCCTGAGCAGCAGGGTTGGTCCTGGCACCCGGCTGTGTGACAGGATTGCTGGGACACCTTGTTGTCAAGCCATGAGTCCTGGTTTTGGTGTCTATCAACCTGACCAGACCCTGGGAATGTTGGTCCCAAGCACAGCTCTCTCCTGAGGGTGGGGGCGGAGCTGCAGAGCCCAGGCCTTAGCTCCAGCCCCCAAGACCAACAGCCGGGCTGGGGGAGTTGGGGTGCAGATGCTGGATCAGGAGCTGTGTGACACTCGGG